CCAAAGTGCTGGGATTACAGGCGTGAGCCACCACACCTGACCTCCAATGTCTCTCAAGTTTGTGCATGTCTGTCTCCCCATCTCCCCTCCCAGACCCTGAGTCCTATACTGGCAAGGCTGAGTTTGCTTAGCTCACTGCTCTCACCCCAGCACCCAGCACCACCTGGTACCCTGTGGATTCAGGTTCCAGGAAGATCTGTGGTGTGTGTGAGGGACTCCATACCTAGGCAGGCTCATCCTTGGCTCAGAGTTCTTATACCACACAGCCTTCAAAGGGCTCAAGACGTGGCCTTTCTCCCAGTGGCTGTGTGCATCTGGTTATAAGGCAGCGGCTGGATCAGATAGTGTATCATTCCATCCAAAGACTCCAGAGGCCTTAGGTACAGGAGATTGAAGAGGCAGGATCCTGTTTCCCTGCTCTCTGCCTGATGTGGGCCTCTGTGGTTACCTAACAGGAGAGCCGGAGGTAGGTCTAACTTAATGACCAGATAATAATCATTACTAGTTAGCACTACTCTTGCAAATAAGCACTTAAAGTATTTCTTCTTTTAAGAAGGCCAAACATGATGGCTCACACCTGTAATCCCAGCACTTTGGGAGGCCAAGGCAGGCAGATTACTTGAGGCCAGGAGTTTGAGACCAGCCTGGCCAACATGGCGAAACCCTGTCTCTACTAAAAATATAAAAATTAGCCAGGTGTGGTGGTGTGCACCTGTAATCCCAGCTACTCAAGAGGCTGAGGCACAGGAATTGCTTGAACCCAGGAGGTGGAGGCTGCAGTGAGTGGAGATTGCACGGCTGCACCCCAGCCTGGACAATGGAGCGAGACTCCATCTCCAAAAAAAAAAAAAAAAAAAAAAAAAAAATGCTGGGCATGGTGGCTCACACTTGTAATCCCAGCACTTTAGGAGGCCAAGGTGGGCAGATCATGAGGTCAGGAGATTGAAACAATTGTGGCCAACATGGTGAAACCTCATCTCTACTAAAATACAAAAAAATGAACCAGGTATGGTGGCGTGCACCTGTAGTCACAGCTACTCGGGAAGCTGAGGCAGGGGAATCGCTTGAACCCAGGAGGCGGAGGTTGCAGTGAGCTGAGATCACACCACTGCATTTCATCCTGGCAGCAGAGCAAGACTCAAAGAAAAAAAAAGGGATTAAACATTTATTTACCCTTAAACCTTTTTACTCTCTCAATTGCCTAGCATAATCTTTCTTCAGCTCAGCCTGGTCTGAAAATCCATTCAACAAACTCTTACTGCGCACCCACCATGTGCCAGATGCAGCCTACTCCCTCACAGAGCCTCCTCCTCAGGAGAGAGGGATCTATGAATTGGTCTCATGTGCCTGGGACCTGACTTTCCCAACTGTGACCTGCACTATTCCCATCATGCTGGGATGCCCCACAGATCATCATCAGAACTAACATGTGTCCAACCCTGTAAGAGCTTAATGCATACTCGCTCATTTAATCATCATCATAACCCTATGAGGCAGGCACTTCCCCTTGTACGGATGAGAAAACTGAGGCACAGAGAAGAGCTAGGCCTCCCTTTTGCCCTCCCAGCACCTACCCAGCCAGGGGTGGCAGCGGGTGAATTTCTCTAGGAGTCCAGTTTAAAAAAAAAAAAAAAAAAATTAACCCAGCTCCACAATTCAGAGCTCCACAAAAATGTAATGTGGGTTGTCTGAATGTTCCAGCCTTGGCCACAGGTCAGCTCTCCTACTAAAGCCAGAAAAGATGTAAAAGGTATTTCACGTCCGGAGAAATTCTCTGAAAAAAGACCCTTCCCTTTGGCCCTGCCCACTAATTATCAATGCCATGGGACTTTGTCCTTATTAAAGCAAGCTGCATCAGGGAGCCTGGGAGGCAGGGAGAGGTGGAGTCTATTACATGCTACAAGCTGCTTCCAGGCCCAGTCTGATCCCTTGAGGTTATGAAAGGCACAGAGAGGTGGCCGCCCAGCACACACTGCCCAGCACCTGCTCCATGCCAGAGCCTCCTTGACTGAGCAGGGCAGGGCTGGGCTGGCCTGCAGACACAGAGCCAAATCAGACCCCTGCCCTCAGAGAGGCTAGAGGTGCCCACGCATGACACATGCAAAACTGAGCTGCACACACAGACCGAGGAGGTCCACTGCAACTGCGGTCAGGGAAGGTGAAGCGGGTGGGGCAGGATGGGGAGAGGAGAGCAGTTCAGCTGAATGGTGAGAGTTGGTGCACTGTGAGGTCCAGGGCCAGGTAGCAGCTGGGAACAGGGGCCTATTCAGAGTACTGCACAAAGCCCAGGAGGCCTGGTAGCCTTGGGGCTTGTTTAGGGACTTCCCCCCACCTCCCAGTAGCTGGGTATTCACAGAACGAGGGAAGAGAGCACATTGGGAGCAAGGATGGGTTCTGACAGGTGGAAGGCCACCCTGGGCCCAGCAGGGCTTTTAGATGCCACACAGCAAGTGTGCAAAATCGTAAGAAAGAAGGTCCATTTGTGATGTGGTCCCTCAAGCATCTATTTTTTTTTTTTTTAACCTTTTTTTTTTCTTCTGTTTTTGAGACAGGTTTCACTCTGTGGCCCAGGCTGGAGTACAGTGACGCCATCTCAGCTCACTGCAGCCTCCACCTCCCAGGTTCAAGTGATTCTCCTGCCTCAGCCTCTATACTAGCCGGGATTACAGACACATGCCACCATGCCCAGTTGATTTTGTTAATCTTTCTGTAGAGAACAGGCCTCACTATGTTGCCCAGGTTGATCTCCAACTCCTGTGCTCAAGGGACCCCCCGCCTCCCCTCCCAAAGTGCAAGGATTACAGGTATGAGCCACCACACCTGCCGAGTCGCTTTCAGCAGAGGCAACTGCTGGCGAGGCCTCAAGGGCCACTGATACCCCCAACTTTCACCCCAAGAAACCCACTCCATGAGGGAGCTCAGAGGCCAGAACAGAGAATACAGACTGTTGTTGACATAAGAGGAAAAACCAGGCTTCCTGTTTGAACCTATGCAGGTACTGGAAGCTCTGAGTAATGCCGAATCTTGGCCTGCCCCACAGGCGGCCTGCGGTGGGGGCTTCTCACAGCTGCTGTCAAGAGCGACTTTCAAGCATTTGCTTACAGGGGACGTGAGGCCCGGCCAGTGAGTGCTGTGTAGAAGAACACTGCATCTATGTAGAGAGGCCACAAGATGTGTGACATCAAAGCCGGCCGAGCATCAGCCTCTCTCAGGCCGTTCACTGTGGTCAATTGCCCTCGATAAGAACCCAACATCAGAAACCAAGGATTTCTCACGTGGCTGGTGGCCACTTTCACAGTCCCCGGTGGCCTTTACTCCCACAAATCAGGCTATTTCTAGGCCCTTGAACACTAGAAATTGTCTCCTTTTGTCTGGCCTGGGGTCGAGCTAGTGAGAGATGCCATGGGGCTCGGGACTCACTCTGGGCCAGAAAAGCTGGCCTGCTCTGCATGAACGCCCTGTGGGACCGGGGGCAGGGCCCTTGCCTCTCCCAGCCCAGACCCCTGTCTGTAATGAGACATTGCAGTGGAACAAACAATGCACGCCTCCACGGAGGTGCAGCACCCGAGCGGGTTAAGTCACGGAGGCGCGGCGCCGCGAGTGGGTTAAGTCATGGAGGTGCAGCACCCGAGCGGGTTAGGTCGTGGAGGTGCGGTGCCACGAGCGGGTTAAGCATTGGGACATCAACAACATGAGTTGACATTAGCTGTGTACCTCCACCCACCAAACTGGGCTAGTGATTTATCTCATTTAAGTCTCACACCAATATTCCTGAACATGCTTCTATTCTAAAACAAACATTCGTTTATATTTTTCAACTTTATTGAGGCATAATTGAAGTTTACTGAGCTATACATACTTAAAGTGTATAACTGACAAGCATTTTTTTCCCCTAGATACTAATTTTAATTACTTTGAAACTACACTATTTTTTAAAATTTATTTATTTATTTTGAGATGGAGTCTCACTCTTGCCGAGGCTAGAGAGCAGTGGCATGATCTCGGCTCACTGCAACCTCAGTTCACTGCAACCTCCTCCTCCCAGGCTCAAGCGATCCTTCCACCTCAGCCTCCCAAGTAGCTGGGATTCCAGGTGTGCACCACTACGTCTAGCTAACTTTTCGTCTTTTTGGTAGAGACAGGATTTCACCATGTTGCCCAGGCTGGTCTCAAACTCCTGAACTCAGGCAATCTACCTGCCTCGGCCTCCCAAAGTGCTGGAATTACAGGTGTGAGCCACTGCACCCAGCCAAAACAACATAATTTAGTACCAAATGTTTAACAAGCACCTATTTAAATTGCTAAAAACTGTGAAATAAGTATTATTTGTATTTGACCGGTTATACAAAACTCCAAATTTTTCTTTTGACAAAAGGCAGTAGAAATCCCAGATTAAGAAAACGCTACTCATTAAAGTTCATGTTTACTAACCTAGCACCATAATTCCAGTCTTAGAACCTCCCACACAGCTGGAAAAGGATATAGCAAGAGGTGAGATATCAAAAACATAATGGTAGTTCTCAACTTGGGGCCCCATTTTGCTTCTTCTAAAGCAAAAAACACAGGGTTTAGCAAAGAAGAAAATCACTGAGGCTGGAGATGAAAACAAAAGCCGGCCGGGCGCGGTGGCTCAAGCCTGTAATCCCAGCACTTTGGGAGGCCGAGGCGGGTGGATCACGAGGTCGAGATCGAGACCATCCTGGTCAACAAGGTGAAACCCCGTCTCTACTAAAAATACAAAAATTAGCTGGGCATGGTTGTGCGTGCCTATAATCCCAGCTACTTAGGAGGCTGAGGCAGGAGAATTGCCTGAGCCCAGGAGGCGGAGGTTGCGGTGAGCCGAGATCGCGCCATTGCACTCCAGCCTGGGTAACAAGAGCGAAACTCCGTCTCAAAAAAAAAAAACAACAACAACAACAAAAGCCTTTGGTTGAGAAGCTAAAGGAGGCCCTCAAGAGTCGTGGAATCAGGGTATCCAGAAGGCAGTGCTGGAGTCCACCTCACGAACTAGGGGGTTTCTTTCTTCCTGACATCAAGTCCTTTTTAATTTCTTTGAGTTTTTTTAGCCAGGTTTGGTGCATCATAGCTCTGAGCCAGATACATTCCAGCCACGCTGGCCAAACTGAACCCAGGTAGGAGCTGGAGCACGATCATCAGCAGGGAGGGGAGGGGGGCATGAAGGGTGACTGCAGCTCTGCAGGCTGGTCTGAGCCACCAGTCGATAAGTCTGAACATGTTTACACCTGTGCAGCTATTACTACAATCAATATGATAGACATTTTCAGCACTCCCAACTGTTTTCTTTGTAACCCATTCCTCCTTCCTTACACTCCAATCCTCAGGCAACCACTAATCTGCTTTCTGTCAATACAGATTCCTTTACGTTTTCTAGTCTTATATAAATCAAATTATACAGTACAAACTCTCTTTTGTCTGGATTTTTTCACTCAACATAATTATTGTGAGGTTTATCCATGTTGTTGCACATACCAACAGTGAATTCCTTTTGATTGCTGAATACTACTCCATTGCATGGATATACCACAATATCTTTATCCATTCACTTATTGGTAGACATGTGGGTTGTTTCTAGCTTTGGGCTATTATAAATAAAGTTGCTATAAACATTTGTGTACAAATCTTTGTATGGACATGTTTTAATTTCCATTGGGTAAATATCTAGTAGAACGTCTGGATCATATAATAGATATATGCTGTATCTTTTCAAGGAACTGCCAAACTGTTATCCAAATTGGTTTTATATTCAGTATCAGCAATATAACTGCTTCACCTCCTTGCCAACACCTGGTATGGTCAGTTTGGGTTTAGTTTTGTTTCGTTTCTTTTTTTCGGCTATTCTAATGGATGCAGTGGTGGTACCTCATTGTGGTTTCAATCTGCATTTCCCTGATGACTAATGATGCTGAGCATCTTTTCATGTGCTTATCAGCCATGCATATATACATGTCATCAGGGAAATGGAAATTAATATTTTATGTATGTATATAAAAATATTTTTGTGAAATGTCTGTATAAATTTTAGCATCTCTGAAACTGAGACACATCTTACAGTTGATGGCTTGTCATAGGTAAACTGGCAAGGACTGCTTTTCCTTTTGTTGTATGACATAAAGTATGGTATACCTTACAATGGATGGAGATTTAGATTTATGAAATACATTAAGTCACTTGCCTTGGGTCACACAGTGATGGAAGATGGAGGGTCAAATTCTGAGCCTGTGCTTTTTATTTTTTTCTTTTTTGAGATGGAATCTTGCTCTGTCACCTAGGCTGGAGTGCGGTGGCACAATCTCGGCTCACTGCAACCTTCACCTCCTGGGTTCAAGTGATTCTCATGCCTCAGCCTCCCAAGTAGCCGGGATTACAGGCACATGCCACCAAGGCTGGCTAATTTTTATATTTTTAGTAGAGGTGGGGTTTCACCATGTAGGCCAGGCTAGTCTTGAACTCCTGGTCTCAAGTGATCCTTCTACCTCAGCCTTCCAAAGTGCTGGGATTACAGGCACAAACCACCGCGCCTGGCTGAACCCGTGCCTTTAAATGTCATGTTATCCTGCATGGTTAGAAGAATCAGGACTGAGTGTGCGGTCAGTGGAGAAAACTGCACTTCTATGCTCTAAGTGCTACGTCAGAGAGCTCTGGAATGTCCAGGCTCCAGACTTCCAGGCCTCAGTTGGCCTTAGTACCCCTCTGCACAGCAGATGTCTCCACTATGAGCCTTCAACTAGCAGGACTTACCAAGAGCAACTATGTGCTAGGCTGCAGTGTGGAACAGACAGGATGCAGTCTCTGGCATGTAGGACTCAGAGCCCAGAAAGGGAGATAAGAGAGACCCAGAGGACAGACACTTAGCAGAGGCTGGGAATACTCCAGTGAGGGAAGAATGGCTGCGGGCCTGAGCAGTCCCCTGGTGCTTTGTGTCCAGGATAAAGAAGTCAAAGTGGTATGGTGCAGAGGTTCCAGGCTTTTTAAGCCCTAAAGTTCAATCCTGGCTCCAGCCCTTATGAGCTGTGTGACCTCAGGCATGTGGCTTAACCATCTGAGCCTCGTTTTCTCCATCTGTAAAATAGGGGGCAAGGGCCGGGCGAGGTGGCTCAAGCCTGTAATCCCAGCACTTTGGGTGGCTGAGGAGGGTGGATCACGAGGTCAAGAGATCGACACCATCCTGGTCAACATGGTGAAACCCCGTCTCTACTAAAAATACAAAAAATTAGCTGGGCATGGTGGTGCGTGCCTGTAATCCCAGCTACTCAGGAGGCTGAGGCAGGAGAATTGCCTGAACCCAGGAGGTGGAAGTTGCGGTGAGCCGAGATTGTGCCATTGCACTCCAGCCTGGGTAACAAGAGCGAAACTCCGTCTCAAAAAAAAAAAAAAAATAGGGGGCAAATTATGCTATCGGGGATATTTTTATTCTAACTTTATGGATGAGAAAACAGACTTAGAGAGGAATAAATAGGAAAATGTATCTAATATAGGTACAGTGGCTCATGCCTGTAATTCCAGCACTTTAGGAGGCTGAGGTGGATGGATCACGAGGTCAGGAGTTTAAGATCAGCCTGGCCAAGATGGTGAAACCCCATCTCTGCTAAAAATTCAAAAATTAGCCAGGCGCAGTGGCAGGTGCCTATAGTCCCAGCTACTTGGGGAGTCTGAGACAGGAGAATTGCTTGAACCTGGGAGGTGGAGGCTGCAGTGAGCCAAGATCTTGCCATTACACTCCAGCCTGGGAGACAGAGTGAGACTCCATCTCAAAAAAAAAAAAAAAAAAAAAAGAAAAGAAAATGTATCAGTGTATCTGGAGCACTTGGCTCAAACACAAGGTCCTTGGGCTTTAAAGGATAGCCACGAATCGGATTGGCAGGGAGGAAGAATGAGAGGATCCCAAGAAAGGAAACCTGTGTGATCCAAGACAAGGAGTGTGGACGGAGGGGAGGTGCCAAGGTGGGAAGAGTCTGCTGGAGTAGTGATTCCAGGGCATCCTCCTCTAAAAGGCCTTTGTAGGGACCTCCAGGAGCAGCTCCTGAATCCTGCCCAGTGTCCTGTGTTGGGCCAAGAGCCGAGCAACTGGAGCTGCATGGGGTAAGGGGCCCAGAGGACCAGATACTCCAAGCCAGACCCTGAAACTGACCCGAACCTTGGTCTCAGCAGGTGTCATGGCCGTGGCGATGCTTGGCCCTCCAGGGTGGCATGGTGGGGATCCCTGTTGATGGGGCTGCCCAAAAGACAGTGGTTCAGAGGTCCCCACATGCCTATTCAGGTCCTGGCTAGTCCCCAGCCCACCGTGGTTCCCATGGCTAGCCACTTCAACACTCTGTGGCTCAGTTTCCCCATATCTCAAATGGGAATGTGAAAACATGGCAGGCCTGCCTGCCCAATCCGTAGAGCTGTGGTGGGGAGTGAATGAGCTGCTGAAAGCATGTCAGTGGGCTTCGAAAGCTAGATGTTAGGCTGATGCGGACCCAGCACAGTCCAGGGAATCACAGAGCTACGAACTGTCACACCTGGTGGGGACCCTAAAGATATTTTACTGTAACACTGGCATTTACCTGATGAAGAAATTGAAGCCAAGAGATCTGAAATAGCTCACCTAGTGTCACACAGCTAGTAAGCCGGGATTCAACTCTCAGTTTGACTAACGTAAGCCAGCTCTCACCTCTCTACCTCACAGACCTGCGATCTCTGGGGACCTTGGGCACAAAGCAAAGTGAAAAATAAAATCAAGAGCCAAGACATTCTCCCTCTCTTTTTTTTTTTAAATTATACTTTAAGTTCTGGGGTACACGTGCAGAACGTGCAGGTTTGTTACACAGGTATACACGTGCCACGGTGGTTTCTGCACCCATCAACCCGTCATCTACATTAGGTATTTCTCCTAATGCTATCCCTCCCCGATGGTCTCTCTTAAGAGACCTGGGAAGCCACTGATTTCAGTACAAAGCTCGGAGGTGTTTGAAAATGCCTGGTCTCTTCAGACACAATTATGGGGCCTCCCCCAGAAGCCTTCCTTCGGCCTCCAGACTTTTTCTGAAGTGGCTGCTCATATCCTTCTTACCTTATCTGTAATATGGGCACAGAACACCTCAGGGGTTTGCATGGGCTGCCATATTGGCCAACCTTCTCCACAGGGCCAGGCGCAGTGGCTCACGCCTATAATCCCAGCCCTTTGGAAGGCAAAGGTGGGAGAATCACTTGATAGGAGTTTGAGACCAGCCTGTGCAACATAGCATGACCCCATTTCTAAAAAAAAAAAAAAATTTAATTAGCCGAGTATGGTAGTGCACACCTATAGTCCCAACTACTCGAGGGCCTGAGGTGGGAGGATCGCTTGAGCCTGGGGAATCTGAGGTTTCTATGAGCTATGATCGGCCTGGGTGACAGAGTAAGACCCTATCTCTAAAAAAATAGAACAAAAAATAAAGCCAAGCACAGTGGCTTAAGCATATAATCCCAGCACTTTGGGAGTCCAAGGCGGGCAGATCACTTGAGGTCAGGAGTTTGAGACTAGCCTGGACAATATGGTGAAACCCTGTCTCTACTAAAAATACAGAAAAATTCAGCTGGGTGTAGTAGTGCATGCCTGTTACCCAGCCACTTGGGAGGCTGAGGCAGGAGAACTGCTTGAACCCGGAGGCAGAGGTTGCAGTGAGCCAAGACTGCACCACTGCACTCCAGCCCGGGCAACAGAGCAAGACTCCATTTCAATAATAATAATAATAATAATAATAATAACAACTTTCTTCATAGGATGGGAGATGATAGACATGAAAGTGCTTTAGAAAGAAAAAACAATCATTGCTTACACAAAGCAACACAGGGTCTATTTCTGTGATGTAATGGCTGCAAGCGTAGGCCGCCCTCGGGAGACTGCAAATGTTGATGAGCAAAGGGAAGAGCTTAAACACAACCACGGGAGATGCAGCGGCTGAAGCACCTGGAACCTGGGCGGCTCAGACATTCACAAGCTCTTAGAGACCCCGAGCCACTTAGCATCAGCTTCAGAGTCTTTTTAGTTAAGGAAAACGGATGGGCATTAACGTACAGATTCTTGACAGCTTTTGTCAAAGGAGAAACAGCTGTTTCCAGGACATTTCCTGCCATTTTCTCCTGTCCCAAGACCTCCTTCTCAACAGTGCCTGGTGCTGTTTTTCTTCTCCTCCTCCTCCTTTTTCTTGGGGTTTGGGGGATGGCACAGTCTCCAGTACAGGCAGCACAGA